TTATTATTATTATTATTATTATTATTATTATTATTATTATTATTATTATTATTATTATTATTATGGATCATCGCACAGTCAGCCAGATGTTCAGACTGGATTTGGCATTTTGTCTACCTATCGAGTCCTTACCCAGGACCTGGGATAGGCAGATGTGGATGTTTGATGGTATTACAGATATCGTAGCAGGATGGAAGCAGTTCCTAGTAAGGCCGCCTTTTGCAGATTACCTCCCATCGGCCGGTACGCTCCCACAGAGTGGGTCTCCTCAGGGTGCCGTCGGCCAGACAGTGCCGGCTGGCGACCTCCAGGGGGAGGGCCTTCTCGGTGGGAGCCCCCACCCTCTGGAACGAACTACCCCCAGAGATCCGGGTGATCCCGGATCTCCCCTCCTTCCGCCGCGCCCTAAAGACATGGCTCTTCCAACAAGCGGGATTGGCCTAGGGAATTTTTAGTGGGTTTTTAAGAGAAATTTTAATTATATAGGCCATAGCTAATATTTTTTTTAATTTGGTTTTAAATTAGGTATTTATTGTAGTATCTGTTTTATAAGGCTGTTAGCCGCCCTGAGTCCGGGAAGGAGAAGGGCGGGATATAAATCGAATAAATAAATAAATAAATAAATAAATAAATAAATAAATAAATAATAGCGAATGTGTCAATGCCAATGGTGTAGTATTATTATTATTATTATTATTATTATTATTATTATTATTATTATTATTATTATTATTATTATTATTATTACTATTAATTAAAACTAGAGAAACATCAATAACTTGCACTATGCTGCTGACACCATTCTGATAGCCGAATCTGCAAAAGATTTGCAAATTCTAGTAAGGAAAGTCAAGGAGCACCGGGGGGGAGGGAAATGAATTATGATTAAATAAAAAGAGAGGATTAGCGAGAACCTGGACAACAGGGACAGAAACCAGCCTTTAGAATTAACAGTGAGATACTGAAGCATTAGATGAGCAACAATGAAGGCTTGGAAAATATATAGGTTGTGGTGACGCGTTTATACATTCAAAGGTCAAAATTGTGCAAGGATTTGAAAAAGCAGGAAAGAAAGATGTCTATGGAGATGCTCAGTCATCCAGGTCATGGTTGTCCCAAAGGTGCTTTTTTCAGGAGGCAACTGGACTTCCTTGTTTTTCTTTGAAGACGTTTCGCTTCTCATCCCAGAAGCTTCTTCCGCTCTGACTAGATGGTGGAGAATGGAAGGATTTATACTCCTTGCAGACAGCTGGTCATTTGCATTCTTTAAGTCATTGAGGCCACTTGGAGGTGGGGGGGATACAACACCATCTATCCCCAATCCACAACAGTCCTTTCAGCATTTCCAAGAAGGCTTCACATCCATTTGCACCACTCAGGTGACCTTGACGAGACAGATAAACCACCAAGTGGCCTCAATGACTCTCTAAAAGAATACAAATGACCGGCTGTCTGCAAGGAGTATAAATCCTTCCATTTCCCACCATCCAGTTGAAGAAACATCTTGGAGAAGTGAAACATCTTTTTTTAAAAAAACAAGAAAGTCTAGTTGCCTTGTGAAAAAGCACCTTTGAGACAGGACAGAAAAGAAAGGATTGACATCATTGAATTTTGGTGTTGGAGAAAGCTTTTGAGTGTACCATGGGCAGCCCAGAAAAAATGGATGTATATTTATTTTTGAGTTCACACATAAGTGACCAGGCTCAAATTATATTTTGGAGATATTGAGGACATTCCCTTGAGAAGTCTACAATGTTGGAAAATGTGGAAATAAGCACAACCAGTAAGAAGGTGGATAGACTTCCTTACTGTTCCAATGGCTACCCTGCTGGAAGATCTGAAGCCAGGTTCTCCAAATGTGGCCACTTTAAGACTTGTGGACTTCAACTTCCAGAATTCCTTATGCTGGCTGAGGAATTTTGGGAGTTGAAGTCCACAAGTCATAAACGGGCCATAGTTCCCCACACTGACGCAGGAATTCTGGAAGTTGAAGTCCACAAATTATAAAATGGCCATAGTTCCCCAAGCTGGCTGAGGAATTCTGGGAGTTGAAGTCCATAAATCATAAAACAGCCATAGTTCCCCAAGCTGGCTGAGGAATTCTGTGAGTTGAAGTCCACAAGTCTTAAAGTGGCCGAGGTTGGAGACCTCTGATCTGAAGGATGGAAACAGACCATCCTGGAACACCAACTAGATGGCACGCAAGCCATAAACACTGTGTCAATGCTGCTAACATTGAATGTTCTTGCTTTGACAACATATGGAGATGCGGCCATTTTCCTCTACTTTATGTTTTACTCTTAGAGTTAGAATTAGATGATACTGGGGGGAGGAGGAGGAATGTGCTTGGGAGTCTAGTTAGACATAACAATACTGTATAAGGGTGGGAACCAAGGGTTTTTGTAATAAGGTGATAAGAAATGGTGGGCTGAAGAACTGGTGGGGAAGCCAGCATTTCAAACTAATTGGAGAATGTGATTTATGACTGTTAATTAGAGGAGGGAATTGTGCTTTGATACTATGTGCTTAGGGGAGGGGAAGTCAGATTTTGGCTTGGACTATGTACATGCCAATGTGTTGCTACTCGAATAAAAATTCTTTAAGATAAACAATGCCTCGAAGTTCTTTGAAGAGTTTCATCTATCGGAACCATGACACACTGGGGTTGCATCATCCAGTTTCTTTCATCATACCCACCTGTCAAATTCTGTTGGGAGATGAAATATATAATCTTGGAATGGCTAAAACTGACTTCACATTATCGTGGGTAGGTGGGCCATGAGGAGGTATGTCAGGATTTCAGAGAGAAAAGTGTGGTGACCCCACCCCAGAGGTGTTGCAGATGCAAAGAACTGTGACAGTTCCTGAGTACGATATACAAAACGTCTCAATCTTTATTGAATATAATACATTGTGGTATTTATTACACAAATAGTTACAGAAGATATTATTGTTAAAGGACATAAGCGATAGTATTTTACAAACTTCATCCAAGTATAAAAATGCAGCTGAAAAACGCAATATCAGTGGAATATAAAATAAGAAGATAAAAAACTGCCCACACAGGTGTGTGGTCAATAAGTTGTCTTAGCGTGAAATTATATACATAAAGTTGTTTCTTAAAGGACAACATCCAACAGGTGTTTTTAAACTCAATTCTCCATGCTTCTGCCAAAAAAAGAAAAAGTATTTACATCACATCTGTACATAGATCTTTCTGTTTCCCGCAGATCCTGGAAAAAGAAAAAGCAAGACGTTGACATCTAAAGAAACTATGAAAATTGGTAATTATTTTATTGCAAAGTGGTAGTATTTCCTCCCTCGCCCCCGAGTCCAATCAGGAATATATTCACCTATGAACAGTTCAAGAGCGTGTTCTGAATATCTTCAAAGACCTGCAAATAAAGGTCATCTCGGGACTTCAATCCATCCAAATAAACTGAAAATAAGAATGGACAATTACCAAATTTGCATGTCATTACGTTGAGAGTGAACTCCAACTTTCAGCAGGCATGTAGAGATTTATCCCAGGAATTAGTCAAGACGTAACGCCACAATTCTAATGACATTTCTGGGGAAAGCTTCAGTGAAATGTCCTTAAGAATAAGTAAGTTTAGGTGAATGTCCATGGAGATTCTCCATCATCCAGGTCATGGTTGTCCCAAAGGTGCTTTTTAATAATAATAATAATAATAATAATAATAATAATAATAATAATAATAATAATAATAATAATAATAATAATAATAATAATAATAATAATAATAATAATAATAATAATAATAATAATAATAATAAAGTTGGAAGGGACCTTGGAGGTCATCTAGTCCAACCCCCTTGCCAGGAGGCAACTGGACATTCTTGTTTTTCCTTTGAAGATGTTTCGCTTCTCCTCCAAGAAGCTTCTTCAGCTCTGGCTGGATGGGTGGGAATGGAAGGATTTATACTCCTTGCAGACAGCTGGTCATTTGCCTTCTTTGAGAGAGTCGTTGAGGCCACTTGGAGGTTTATCTGAGTCTTCAGGATCACCTGAGTGGTACAAATGGGTGTGAAGCCTTCTTGGAACAGCTGAAAGGACTGTGTTGTACACTGGAGATAGATGGTGTTATCAGCAGTTCCAAACAAGATTCCGGACCCATTTGCACCACTAAGGTGACCTTGAGGACACAAGTAAACCTCCAAGTGGCCTCAATGACCCTCTAAAAGGATGCAAATCACCAGTTTTTCTGCAAAGAATATAAATCCTTCCATTCCCCACCATCCAGTCAGAGCTGAAGAAGCTTCTTGGATGAGAAGCGAAACGTCTTCAAGGAAGAACAAGAAAATCCAGTTGCCTCTTGAAAAAAACCACCTTTGGGACAAGTAGGGATTGTGATTTGAGAGTTTAGAAACAGGAAGAGTTTCTGCCCATCCAATTCAATCTAGGGGATTGGAGGCTAAAGCATATGAGGAACGGTTGCTGGAATTGGGTATGTCTAGTTTAACGAAGAGAAGGACGAGGGGGGGACGTGATAGCAGTGTTCCAGTATCTCAGGGGCTGCCAAAAGAAGAGGGAGTCAAGCTATTCTCTCAAAGATGATTAGGGGACTGGAGGCCAAAGCATATAAGGAACGGCTGCTGGAATTGGGTATGTCTAGTTTAACGAAGAGAAGGACGAGGGGGGACAGGATAGCAGTCTTCCAAAATCTCAAGGGCTGCCACAAAGAAGAGGGAGTCAAGCTATTCTCCAAAGCCCCTGAAGGCAGGACAAGAAGCAATGGATGGAAACTGAGCAAGGAGAGAAGCAACCTAGAACTAAGGAGAAACTTCCTGACAGTGAGAACAATTAACCAGTGGAACAACCTGCCTCCAGAAGTGGTGAATGCTCCAACACTGGAAGTTTTTAAGAAGAGACTGGACAGTCATTTGTCTGAAATGGTGTAGGGTTTCCTGCCTGAGCAGGGGGTTGGACTCGATGACCTCCAAGGTCCCTTCCAACTTTATTATTATTATTATTATTATTATTATTATTATTATTATTATTATTATTAGAAATTGGACATGCTGCCACTCCCATCAGTCAAAGAACGTTGGCTGGTGGGGGTTAGAACAGCTTTGGGGATCGGGGGAGGGAACAGGGGATGGTTCTGCACGAGCAGCGGGCACGCGCACCTACCTTTTACACAAATGGAGTGGGAGCACGGTCGTTCGCTGCTCGGACAAGTGGGGATGTGCGTTTTTGCTTCCTTCTTTGGGCGGCCCGGTTGTGAATGGCTCACGGCCCAGGTTGGGCCATAACCTGGGGATTGGGGACCCCTGGATTAAAAGCAGGGCCTTTTCCGCAGTGGCCCCTGGTCTGTGGGAATATCCTCCCCTTGGAGATTAGAATGGCCCCAACCCTGCTAGTCTTTCTAAGGCTTTCTAAAAACATTGATTTATTTTCCAAATTTATGGACCGCCCCTCTTAACCAGAGTAAACTTTTTTTACCCAAAATTGTTCACTAAGATATTTTTCAACCCCTACTTCACATTTATTTGACCCAACCCTTCTTAATTGCAGTCAGGTTATGCCAAGAGTTTCTTACCAACGTTGACTTCATTGGCCTCCATTTCCTTCCTGTGTTTAAGATACATTGGCCAGACGTGACCGTCAAATAGACCGGGAGGGTCAGGAATGGTGTATTTACGCGTACTGAAGATAAAAAAAAGGAGAGGAGAGGAGAGAGGAAGGAGAGCAAAAAGGAATGGGTGTGGAGGCAAGGGAAGAAGAGAAAAGGAGAGGAGAGGAGAGGAGAGGAGAGGAGAGGAGAGGAGAGGAGAAGGGAGGAGAGGAAAAAGGAATGGATGTGGAGGCAAGGGAAGAAGAGAGGAGAGGAGAGGAGAAGAGAGGAGAGGAGAGGAGAGGAGAGAAGAGGAGAAGAGCGGAGAGGAGGAGAGAGGAGAGGAGAGGAGAAGAGAGGAGAAGAGAGGAGAGGAGGAGAG